TTGGCACAAGAGCTTAGAATTGATTTCTTTAGTTTACCAAAAGCTCGCTTTCGGATTTAATGCACCAGCGATAATTTCAACGTCTGATTTCAGAAATTTTTATAGCTTTCATTTGATATAATTTTTTTAATTTTTCGTCGCTGATTCGTAAGAAAAATATCTAGATTTATACTTTTCCGCCAGTGAGATTAAAAAGCTGGACAAAATCGTTGTCACTTCGAAAGGTTCTTTTCTTCGAATATACAGTATATATTTTTTGGCATCCCGATTTTAAAATGAATCATTTGCTACACCACATGAGTTTAAATACTTTAAACGATCTCTCGGAAGTACGGTAAATTAATTTTGTTTGCATTTAAATTTATTAGGTGGCAATTTGCGCTGGCTGCAACATTTTGCCAACTTGGGCAGCATTTCTTGTCGGGATCGGGTCTGCCATAGTTTTTCTCACAATCAAGAGAATCATGGATCAATCCGTTGGTAAGTATGAAAGCTTGAATGCATTTTCTTCAAATGATTCCAAGGAACAACAGTAACGTAAGACCGTCATCATGGAATTTCGAAAAAAATTCAGATTTAAAAAAAGATTAGGAGTTTAGCTTTTGGAGGATTTTTTTCCAGCGATTTTAATCATCAGTGTTTTTGTTGTTGTTGTTTATTTTTTTTATTTTGCTGAATATAGTCGTTGATGATCCCCTGGATGCGGTTGCTGTGCATTTTGGCGGAGGAGTTTGGGGCATGATCGGATGTGGCCTTTTGTCGGGGCCGGGACTTTTGTCTGGAAATTACATGGCAAGAAAATTGTTGACGAAAAATTGTTTTGAAATCTTTGGATAATTCAGTAAAATTATTATTACAAGCTGGGGGGTGCCAGGCCACACCTGGTCTTAATCGATAGAATTTTTTTTTTCAATATCGATTTTTAAATTTTTGTGATGATTATTTAATGCAGGGGTATAATATTGTAATTGTGCTCGATGCACCTGAGCATAATCAGAGGGGGGAAGGGGTATATTATATGCTATTGACCTCAGGTCACACATTCCAGGTGGTTTCAATCACACCTGGTCATCACGTGAAAAAGCTAAAATTTTGCAACGTTAAATCTCATATTTTGAGCACATCAGGAATTTCAGGTCCATGTGATTAATTTTGTACTTGTGCTCATTACAGGATTTTTTTGCATGAGTATTGATTGTTTTTTTTTTTTTGTTTTAAAAAAACGTTATTTATAGATGCTGGCCTGGAATGTCATTGGAACAGCAACTATTACATTTTGGAGCCTTGGCACAACTGGACTGATGTGCGCAGCACTCAAGTACACTAACGTACTCAGGGTTTCCAAACAGGAGGAACTCAAAGGTTTGCGTTTTCACCAGAAAAATTCAGCAGATATCCCTTGAAATAAAAACATGAGAAACTTTTTAGTTCTCTCTTTCTTTGTGAAACATTTGGTACAGTTGCAATAAGAAGGACGTGGCGTAAACTTTTCGAGGTTTTAAATATACAGTAGTTTAAAAAAAATCTTGACTGGATATACCAAAAATGTCAAGTATGAACAATTTTGTAGGAAAATGAAATCTTTTATGCGTTCGTACAAAATTATTTCAATTTTTTTAAACGTAAAAACCAAAACTTCAATCCAAATTCTCAGTCTGCATTTTTTAGTAAAATAAAATGTCTCATTAAAATGTCCCATGAAAGAAACTTTGTGCTAAGATGCTTTGAATATCTGAGAAGCAAATTTGCTGAATAAATGGAAGGAAAGTTCGAAGTGCAATGATTTATTAGCAGGAACATTTTCCTCCCTGCAACAATTTTTTCGCATTGCAGAAAAATATATACAGGTATAAAATATATAACTTTTTTGAAAATTTTCTTCCAAAATTTCCAGGAATGGATGAAATGAAGCACCAAGAACCCGCTTATCCAATTGAGTCCTGGGTTGAGGATCAATACAAAAACCACGGTTTCATCTTGCCACTAGGGGGCGCTCCAAATACAGGTTCCTCAGGTTTTACAATATGTACTTCTTCCCATCAAGAAATCCGAAACTAATTTGGCACATATTTTTCAAAGGTCCAGGCCATATCATGATGGAGATACTGCAGTAAAAATTGTATAAAAAGTTTTTTACATTCATCACTGCAAATTGATTTCTTTGTGGGTTTTTTATAGTTCACCTTACCATTGTTAACATGTATGTGTTTTTCTTGCAATGAATTTTCCTACTTTAATGAAGGAAAGAGAAGTTGCTGGTCTTGATTCAGATTGTTTGCTGCATTCTCCTGGAAAACTGCATTATTTGGCTTTGTAAAAAATGACTTGAATTGTAAAAAAAATTCAATGATATATGGAAAAACTACCAAGTTCACATTTTTTTTAATCTCTTGTGAAAACATTTTTCAATGGTCTTTGGAAGTTTGTTGCAACAAGATTTCCTCTGTATTTCAGATTTTGGCATGGAATGCAGCTGGAACACTTGCCATTGCAGTTTGGAGTTTTGTTCTGACTGGATTGCTCTGTGGAATCATGAAGTACACTCACTTACTGAGGATTGGTGAAGAAGAAGAAATTAAAGGTACATTTTTTAAATGCACAAGTGCTTCTGCCATCTTTTAATTTATAATTTATGCATCACCCAAGGTCTGGATGTTGCCAAGCATGAGGAGCCTGCCTACCCAGTGGAGTCCTGGCTTGAGGACCAATACATCAAGCATGATTCCATACTGCCACTAGGGGGCGCTTCAGTTTCTTCCCTAAATGGTAATGAAATAATTTTCTTGGAGGAAAATATGACATTTTTTTCATTTTTTGACGATTTTATCCAGATGTTGAAAGGAGGGCAGCTAATGAGACTGGAAAAACAAATGGACACCAGGAACCTCAATTTATCGACTCAAAATTCTTTTGACAATCGATGACCGCAGAATCAAACGCATCAAAAAAGGAATGACTCTAAAGTGTCACGATACTCGCCAGGAAAGGCGAACCTTGAAATCAACCCAGAACTAATGGGTGCATTGCCGCAAAGCTGATTTACAGAACCACAAAATTAAGATAAAGATCCAATCTCTATCTTTCTCTTCTATTTTCCTCTCTTAAAAAGTCAGCTGGTTCCTGTCAGATGCTGAGAAAATTGACTATATGGTGGGTGGAAAAACAAGGAACAATAATACACCAAGGTGGGCTTTAGTATTTATTTCACTTTTTTTTTGCTCTTCTGTCTTTCCCAAAGAAGCCATACTTCCAGAGCTTGGTAAAAATGGTGGTGGTGGTGGTGGGGGCAGCAACAGGTGGGAGGAGGTTTCAACTCTCACTCAAAAAAAAAAGCCTGCACCTGGTGTATTCAGCAGTCTGTCATTTGAAAGGTGTTGGTTAGTTTTGGTGTATTAGGGAAACCAGATAATGTGGACAGAGTTGCCAAGCTTATTAAGATGAGTTTTTCTACAGTTTCCTAGTCAAGATCAGCCTCAGGGTTGTTTGAAAAGAGGTCCTCTCAATGATTTCTGTGTAACTTTAGGATCAATTTATATACACAGCAGAATTTCATTTCAGCAAATAGTTGCTTACAACAAAGTCATTTTCAAGTTGCTCTGCTCAATAGCCAAAAAGGTAAATAAGTTACAGCACTTGAAAGTAATTTTTCTTACACAAAAGTTATTTTACTGGTCCCAATGGCAAAAGTCATGTAGTAAAGTATGACCCCCACATGCGGACACCTTGACCTGCAGACGATTTGACCTAGGGACACTTAATTTACCATTAAAAATCATAAAAAGTCCCAACATAAGGACATTGACTTGACATAGGGACATTTTGCGATAAAATTGCAAATTCATTTAAGGTTAAATTACAGGAATCATATATTTCCAACCCTAAAATTGATGTAAGAAAAGTTCTTGGGCATTTCTCTTGCCAATTTACCATCCATTTAGCTAATTAAAAAAAATACCTCCAGCATAGAGTGACTTCGTTCTCTCTTTTTCACTTGAATTTTATTTTTTTACAGAAAATGCCAACACTTGTATGTACTGTACAGATAAGGTATCAGTATTCAATTCCCAAAATGTTCATATTGTGTTGAAATATATTGATTGAATCAGTTTAAATTGGCCGAGACAATTTTCATTTTCATGGAATTAGGGTGAGTATTTTGTACATGAAACACCAATTAAAAATTATATAATGTA